GGTCACAGGTCAAAGGTCATTTGGGTCAGGAATATGAGATTTTCAGAGTAGGTGTCCAATTAATTGACTCGAGGGTCCTGAAAGTTTCGTCGCGATCGGCCGCTTTTTACGCGAGTTATTCTCGAAAAAAAAAACGAGGGGGTGGTTCGTTCGACCCTCCCCCCCCCCTATACGGGCGAGGGATAATTTATTAAAAAGCTAGGGCCTTCTTAATCCCATCTACCAGCTTCAGAACATGTATTGGGCAGATCTGGGAATACCGTATCTTAAATTTATCCCTAGATGTGTGCCAAGGTATCCTTTCACTCATCTTGGCTTTCCCTCGGCCGAACGCTTCGTGTTTAAAAACCTCTAGAAATTAATTGAAGTGAATAATTGGCGGTAAGATTATTGCAAAGGCATGAGAAATTAACGTAAAATACATCATTACCGGTCTTATAACCTCGTTTCGCGAATGAAACCTGTCAGAGTCCCAGAGTTTCATATTCATCCCTAGGGTGTGCCAGGGTGGCGTGTCAGTCATCTCGAACCCCTGCCCGACCCGACGCCTCGAGTTTTAAAGACATCTAAAAACTAATAACGTAAATAATTTGTGGTGAAATTGATATAATATGATCAGAAAAAAACGCAGAATAAATTAGTATCGGTCTCAAAACATTATTTTGCCTATGAAACCAGCCAGAGCCCGCGGAGTTTTAGATTCATCCCTAGGGTGTGCCCAGGGTGGCTTTTCTCATCTTGGACCTCTACCAGGCGCGACGCCTCGAGCTTTAAAGTCCTCTAGAAGCCATTGACGGACATAATTTGTGGCGAAATTGATGCGATAGGATCAGAAATAAACGCAGAATAAATTGGTATCGGTCTCAAAACATTATTTTACCTATGAAACCAGCCAGAGCCCACGGAGTTTTAAATTCATCCCTAGGGTGTGCGCAGGGTGGCTTTTCTCATCTTGGACCTCTGCCAGGCCCGACGCATCGAGCTTTAAAGTCCTCTAGAAGCCATTGACGGACATAATTTGTGGTGAAATTGATACAATAGGATCAGAAATGAATGTAGAATAAGTTGGTATCTGTCTCATACCCCTATTTTGTAAATGAAAAAAGTTAGAGCCCACCAAGTTTTAAATTCATCCCTAGGGTGTGCGCAGGGTGTGCCCAGCTGACTGCGGGTCCAAAGATGAAAATTTTGTAGGCGTATCCTGCGTAACTTAGTCAAAAGCGAATTGCAGAGGTAGTGTTTAATTTGCGCAAGCAGCGGCTCATCCGTTTTGCATTGGCAGCAAACCACTAATCATAGTTGTTATTAATATCCAAGAGCATTTATTCAGAACACAAGCCTTTTTTTACAAACAGTTGAGGTAATCAAGGTCATTCAAAGCATATTTGTTATTAACAGCTGGAAGTGTGCAAGGTTATTTTCTTTCGTTGTCGGTCAGGGTGAGTTGTTGGGTTTGTGCCTTGATATAGCTTTTTTTCATGGAAATTATGTATTATGTAGCAAACCTGTAAGTTCTAACTGTCTATATGGCGCTGCTAGGTATATCTGGTAATCTGGCTGTTAATTGTTGAGCATGAGTTGAGCATTTTTCAAAGATGAATGAATTCCAATTTACCTGGTTTTGGGGATGAAAATATTTTGCCCATTAGGTGTGATTTTCCACCCAAAATTCCCAAAAATGGAACGCTGCCCCAAAGAGTACGTACCGTCTTTGTCTGCGTCGGGCGCCACCTCGGCGTATGCCTGGAAGAGCACGTGCGTCAGGCCGTCACAGTACTCTCTCCAGGAGTCGGGCTCGCTCAGCAGTCTGCGCTGCTGGCCGGTAGGCGGCGCTAGCAGCGGGGCCTCCTCGGTCGCCGCCGCTGTTCGCCGGTACACCGGGCAGAACGCCGCCACCGGTACGGAGCGGCTCGGACCGGCGCTGTGACCGCCCCCGCCGGCCGGCTGGGCGGACAGCAGCTGCGCCAGCTGCTTCAGCACCGTCACACGCCAGCTGGCAGCCGACAGCTTGCTGCCGGGGTCGGCGAGCAGCGCGCGCGCCCCGCCGCCGCCGCCGGAGCGGGAGATCTGCTCCAACAGTGTGGGCAGCAGCAGGTCTACTGAGGCGGAGAGTAGGGCAGGGAAGCGGCGCAGCAGGGTGGCCAGGAAGGGCAGCGAGCTCTGCTGCACGGCGGCGCGGATGTGCGTCATGGCGCAGGTCAGGTGCGTCACCAGCGCCGGGAAAAATGGCGCGATCTGCGCCTCCGTCACCTGGCAAGGTAAAAAACCCAGTCATGATCAGCTGAACTGTGAATGGGGACAGCTCAAAGTTCAAACACAAAGGGAAACAATCTTGGTCCTTAAAGTAGTTGAAAATGTTGGCAAGCAATGTCCTGTACTCTCAAATAATGTGCTTTAGGTTGTAAGGCAGGTACCTACTTGCACAAGGAGACAATGACCATTGAACATCAAGAAGACAGACATGAATAAGCAGCTCAATGAATGTTGTGGATTTGGAAAAAAATTGAAACTTCTTTAAGATTACTTAATCTTCTAGTAGAACACTGACCTGCTCGTTGATCTCAGTCACCAGCTTGACTGTGTCTGTGCGCAGCTGGTAGTCCTCGTCCACTAGCAGTCCAGCCAGAGCTGGCAGTATCTGGCCAAGAGAGGGCACCACCAGCTCTGGGTGCGCAGTCAGAAGCTCCCGCAGCCCATTCAGACCATCCTGGCGCACATACACGCTAAAGTGCTGAAGATGGGACAGCAGCTCCTGTGGAAAAGTGTGGGAAAAGTCGAAGAATGATCAATCAAATACCTCCACATTTGGATGCTTATTTGGTATATGGATAATTCATTCAGGCACACTCCATAATAACTAATAAGGTATAATTCCATACTACTAGTGATTCTGCATGCTAGTAGCACATTTACAGAAAATCAATTTTAAGCAGACAACTCGGTACCGTCATTCGGGGTGACTTTGTAAAACTTTTGCTATTTTCTTCAATGCAGGGGAGATCTGAAAAGATATTTTGAACCAGGGTTTGTTTCAAGATACCAAATAGGGAATTCTGTGCATGATGGTGTATATCTGAATATTTAAAATCACTCCCTTATATTTTATTTTTTTGGTTAATAAATTATCATTGTCACACCAAGGTCGGGGTGACTATGATACCCCTCATTATTTGCATTGTTAATGAGTTGACTGGTCAAACAAGCACAGCAATGGGGGTGTCTATGATAGGTATGTTTGTTTTAAAAAAAGTATTTTGCACCAATGCAAACTTGATGTCTTTTTTCTTGAAAACATAAAGTGATCACAATTCACCCACTTTCGGACGCATGTGGTCACAAAACACTTAAAATTAACACTTTAAAAATGTCAAACTGTAACTTTTGTGGGCAAGCACAACTGGCAAGGAGCCAAACATGTCACAGATGGTCACATCTTCACGTCTTGTGTGGTTTTCCTTCTCACCAGGTACAATCACAGTACTCTTCCACGACTGCGGTAGCATCGTTCATTTCACTTTGAATGCATGACACATGGTACCATTTCTGGCAGTTTTCACACCCTTCCCACTTAATGATCTTGTCCCCTGTGGCTCCAGGGGGGTTCCACCTCTCACAGATACTACACTTTTCCTCCTCCCCTGAGTCTGGCTCCTCTGCTGACTCGTTTTCTTTGTCTTGCTCAGCGAAGCTTCGCTTCTTTGGTTTTGTCCCTTGCTTTGTCCTTTTCTTGTGTCCCAGACCCTGATGGCTTGAGGTGCTGTGCCTGTACTGCCATCCCTGCAAGAGCAGAGATCCTTTGCCCCCTTTTCCTGTGGTTCTGTGGTTTTCCTGTGGGCTATCATAGTCACCCGGGGCATTATCATAGTCACCCCGACGATCTAAGTCACCCCGAATGACGGTAAATGTCAAATTGAATTACTGAATCCAAGCAAGTTACAACATTCATAACAAACTTCACACACGATAAATTATGCACCTACCTTCAAGGAGAGTTTCTTCTTCGTTACAGGTGTTTCATTATCTTGCTTCTTAAGTTGATTGCCGATCACAATCTTCTTAGACTTGAAGCTGGTGTCTGTTAGGTTCTGACCTTTTGGAAGCTTCTTCCCAACCTTCAATTTCACTTTAGTAAAATCTGCCTTCTTTTCTCGTTTGGCTTTGTTACTCTTTCCCATATTGATAAGTAAATAGCAAAAACAACTACGAATCAATTTTAAACTAATAATAGCATCCCAAGCGATCGGGTCGGGACCATCGATCGGCGCAAGGCCCTATATACCGTACGTTTTCACTTGCCTTGTTTTCCCCCCATGGCCAGATTTTTAGTGTTCAGAAGCCGCTTGTGATATTTTCGGTGGTCTATACTAAACCCAAATTTCCATGGTAACGAGAAAAACAGGCCGATCATTGGGTAACATGTTGCAAATGTTTACGCTAGCATAAATGCAGAATGAATATCACTTGAAATTATATGTCATAGCTGCGTCATAAATGTCCTTTGTTGAGATGCCAGATGCTGGCATATTGTTACTGTTACGAGAAATTTCGTATCGGAAAGAAAACTTGACTTGACAGACAGTGCAGTGCATATAAGTAAAGTAATCTTGAGTGCATTGCTGTATTCCTATGATCGTTGTTGAGCAATGAGCACCCGTTGCTCCGGATCATTCCTGTTGTCATTGGTTATAATTTTGATTGATAAATTCAGAATTCAACCGCATCGGCGCATCCGTTTCCCCAGGATCTAAACCAGCCGCCGATTGGCCCTGCCCTAGACTGGTACCCAATGAACGAACAAAGCTGAAACTTGAAAGCGTTTCCACGACTGCAGAGAACTGAGAAGTGCGAAAAAGACCGGGGACACATGAGCAGAGAAAATACGTGTTACAAACGGATCACAAAGCCGAGCGAATAGGAAAATTCGTTCCAACTTGCTCATGTAACGTCGGTACTCGGTATAAGAATAAAATCCGTACAACCCACATACGAAAAAAAAGCTATAACATTTAACTGCTTGTATTTCAGTCACATCAGCGTCACAAAAAATCCAATATTAGGAAGAAGCTACCTTCCTCAGATATTATCCATCCAACACGACGCTGAAATGCGACAAATATCACATAAACAACAGCCCATATAAACCATGAAAGGGGACACACCATCCAGAGTACCCGCATGCCCCCACTCGTTCAAATTTCACCCAACTCCCTCTATCATGGTTCATGACCCTGTGAACACCCAACAAGCAGTCGTGTAAAAATTGCGAGCAATTCACAATTGCCCTGACATTTACTCGTGATTACAGTTGGTAGCGCAATAACGCCATCCGGATTCCAATTGAGCCGATTCTCAGAAAACGCACAATAAACTTCGTGAACAAACAAGCACGTCGCCCATCGCACGGTACGTATCGACTGCCGGACGGGGCTCAGGGCGGTAGCATTTGATTGAAGCTCAATCCCTGACCGGTCGGACACCAATACAAACAAACCGGTATGGTTACCCCGCACGGTTAGACCGAACACACATCGCAGCGGGGCGAGCGACTCTGCCGATCCCAAAAGTCTAGAGATACACACCCGTTCGCCGGCGCTCACACCAGTCGGCTCTGCTGAGACGAGCGGATGGTGGAGGGTGGCGGCAGGGTAGCGGTCGGCTCCTGCGCCGCCCCCGCCGCCACCAGCTCGCCACCCCCGCTCACATCCAACTGACCAGACAACTCACCGGCCGGTTTTAGCACGATCGATCTTGATCCGTCGGCGAGGAACACGGCCTCGGTGTTGTAGATGCCCTGGGGTAGGGTGAACTCCTCGGGTAGCTCCTCCCCAGTATCGACAGAGTACAGCCTCAGCACGCCCTCGTCCGGGATGTAGGCGACGCCGTGCTCACTCATCAGGCCGCTCCACTGGGCGGGCTCGCTGACTGCGGCCTCGGTGACAGTCTCCGGTCCGCCCGAGTCACCGCCGCCGCTGCTGGCGGTGCCGCCCCCGCCACCACCGCTCTCGCCAGCTCCGCCGCCGCCGCCGGCGCCAGTCGATCCCGTGCCGTCCGACCCGCTGTCTGAAGAGGCCGCCGCACTGCCGTCGAACCTCTCAATCAGCCTCGTGCGCGTGCGCATGTTGTGCACGGCGGTCATGTGCCGACGCAGGTGGGACATGCGCTTGTACGAGTTGCCACAGTAACACTGGTAAGGTCGGGTTTCCGAGTGGACACGCATGTGACGGTTCAGCGAACTACTCGTCTTGAAAGCCTTCTGGCACTCGCCACAGGTGAAGCGTTTCTCCGTGGTGTGAACGTACAGCTGGTGGTCCTTGAGGGTGCTCAGTGTGTGGAAGGCGGCCGCGCACTGGTCGCAGACGTACCGCCGTGCCAGCTGCTCGTGGGCAGCTATGTGTCGCCGCAGGTTGGCCGCGCTACTGTTGGTGTAGTCGCAGTGGGGACACCGACCGACCTTGGCCGGGCCCTCGCCGTGCGCGCGCACCAGGTGCTTGCGGAGCGCGAAGTGAGCGCAGAACTGCGCGCCGCAGTGATGGCAGATGAGCTGCGGTGAGCGCGAGCACAGCGAGCGGCGCAGGTGACGGTGCAGCTGAGCGGCCGTCTCGAACTCGGTCTGACAACGGGAGCACTCCAGGGACACTGCCGAACGACGGCGGAGAGCAGTAAGTCAGTGGTCGGGTAACGGGTTACACCAGCAGAGAAACGGTACCTAGCGTATAACTTGACCCAGTAGCAACGAACACCGCGCTAAACAATACGATACCATACAGAACAATGCGCTTATTTCAACACTCAACAGTTCAGCCCATCCTTTTCCGATCCATTGATTCTCTCACCATCGATGGCGTCAACCTAAACCACGTCACCCAATTCGTGATGCCCATCCCCTAACCAACACAATCTAACCTACCCCAAGACACTGACACGATCCCGGTCGCCCACTCTCTCACCGTCAGGATGTGAGTCCAGATGCTGGCTGAGCTGTGTGCGAGACCAGAAGGCGGCGCCGCACACCTCACACCGGTAGCGAGTGAGCGCCGGACCGGTCAGCAGATCCGGCTGTATCTGGTGTGCGCTCTGCATGTGAGCAGCGTACTCGGGCTGCGTGACGAATGGCTGTCCGCACAGCGAACAGTCGTACTGCTCGTGCAGCTGAGGGAGGGGAAGGGAGGGTCAGTGGGGGATAGAATAACTAGCCGCACAGCGAACAGTCGTACTGCTCGTGAAGCTGAGGGAGGGGAGGGGAGGGTCACTAGTGAGGGATAGGATGGCTGGCCGCACAGCGAACAGTCGTACTGCTCGTGAAGCTGAGGGAAGGGGAGGGTTAGTGGGGGACAAACGGCAGCTGGCAGCACAGAGAGCAGTCGTACTGCTCGACGCTCGTGCAGCTAAGGAGATGGAAGAGGGAGAGTCAAAGGGGGGACGGGGCGGACATGAAGAACTGAGGTACATGAATCTGTACCTCACACAAAAACGAATCTGATAGAAGAATGGCCAAAGGCGCACTCGCAACGAGCATGATTGTGACATGACTGAGGATACATAACACAAGCCCATTTCACATCGGTGGGAAAAGTACAGAGTAGGTGCGAAAGATCCCAGAAACAAGACCTGCAAAAGACGATAGTTAAAAAAGCAATTGAAGATCATCACACGAAAAAACGCACCATCCACAACTAAAATCCACAAAAACGCACGACCAGCCCCGGGATTCTACCCCCAGTGATCCATCCTCTACTCAAATTAACCCACTCCAAAGTTACCCAAGAATCAGGTCTGCACCCCACCGTCGGCACTCACCCGCATGTGCTGCAGGTACTGCTGGTTGCGCCGGAACCGTTTGTGGCAAGTGGCACAGGTGAACGGCTCGTGTCCGTGCTCGGTTTTGATGTGCTCCGCCAGTCGCTGTTTGCTGACCGTCAGCCCACACCGGCCGCACTGCGTGTCGTCCTGGGTGGCGTGGACCTGACGACGGCGGAGGGGACGGGTTATAAAAACAGGTACTACCAGCTGATTATTTTGTAACGACTCAATATTGGTTTAAAAAAAAGAATGGAAACGGAAAATATACAATTTCGACACAACACATTCAGAATGTGTTGGTACAAGAGCTATTTGAGAACAGTCTAACGAAAACAGCGCTATGAAGTTTTGATGATCACCAATCATCTTTCCCGGCATCACATCAAAATCAACAGGTCACAAAAGATTATGCTATCAAACACACACAAAACCGTTCACTCCCTCACCTTCGAATGCGTCAGCCAGGAGCGTTTCTTCATAAACTTCTTGGGGCACTTGTCGCACGTGAACCACTTTTCACACTCGCGGATGTGCTCGTGCCGGAGGTGTTTGACGAGCGCCTTCCGACTGGAGAGTCGCTCGCCGCACTTGTGGCAGGCGTTCAGCGCGTGGCCGGCCAGGTGCCGCTTGTACGGCAGCTCCATGGTGAAGCGGGCGTCGCAGTCGGGGCAGACTAGCGCGCTGACGCCTGCGACGGACCGAAGCAGTACATTCAGTAATTATTGGGAGTAGGACTTGAGGATACAGAGGAAAGTCCATAGGTATTGTGGATACTGCATTTAGAGACTAAGCTTAAGCAGTAGCAATTAAGCATCACACTTTTCTTGCATCAATGTAGAAGTTCGCAAGTAAGACCAGGATCCTCGATAAACCACGCATGCCACACATCTTTATCAAAATCAAACACTGTACGATTGTCCTGAGATTGCACGCTACTTGTTTCGTCCGCATCGCATCATTGCACCCTACAGCCGTTGGGTGCAGCCGTACGCATCGATCGGAATACATCGTACTTTTAATCGTACATCGTTGATCACACACCCTGAAGCAGGTGCGGTTGTGGTAGAGGAAGTGGGCGTACGTGTTGAGCTCGCTGCGGCAGGCGCGGCAGCAGACAGGCGCCTGCAGGGGTCCCACTTGACGTGCAGCACCAGACTTGCGGTGTCCGCAGGGCCGGCCGCAGCCGGGCGCCGACAGACGTACCGGGCGGCGTCCGGCCGGCGAGCCGCCTTCTTCCGCGGGCCGCTGCCGCTGGGGGCGGTCGGTCTCCTGCGGGCGGCCGCAGACGGAATGGTGAGCTAGTGTGGGAATGAGTATTTGTTTCTCTGTAAATGAACATCACTGTTTACCCATATTGTTTTTTTTTCAAGAAAAATGAACACTTATAGATCATTACTGACATTACCAAAATATTGATTCAGAGTGTTATTTTGTAATAAGTGGTTCTTTCATAATGCCAAAGCGATAACTATGAAATAGGTCATGCCAAGTCATATTGTGAACCCATTATTTCCAGTGCTGCCCAATCCCTGCATCTCTCTGAAGTGCATGTATTTTGCACTTGCCTGCTGGTTGGCAGCTGCTGCATTCTTGGTGGACTGGTCCCACTCCTGCTTGGCAGCTCCATCAGAGGCCTGCTGGGGACCAGTCTCAGCAGCTTCCCCTGCAGGCTGCCCTTCAGAGCCAGCTGGGTATGTCTCGCAGGGCGCCATGGGTACATCTTTATCGGTTTGTGGACTGAAAACAAAAGCAACACTAGTGTAACAACCTGCAGTGTAACGCTGAAAGGTAAATGAAATGCATCCAATTCATTTCCAGCTGTACTTAGTCAGTGCTCCCATCAACAGAACTACTGAAATTCTTATAATACAGCACACAGGCTGAACATGAGAAAAGCAGATCAAGACAAAAAAGAACACTAATTCTGCTGGCCCAGGGGGTTATATTTCATCTTTTAAATCATTCAGTGGGAACTGTAGCCTTTAAATTGAAGAGGAAAATCTTAAATCAATGAAAATATGCAAGCCAGCATGCAAATTGCATTACCTTTTAGAGGCAGGCTGCAGACCACCAGTCTCTTGCCTGTTTCCCCAAGTGAGTCATCCTCTTCCTCTGCTATTTCATTATGCTCTGAGGTCAGAGGTTCAGCCTCAACATTCATGTCATCTGACTCATCCTCAAAATCATGATCTCTGGTGGCCTTCTGACTTTGGTTGGCCCCAGTTTGCTGCTCCTGGCCCTCTGTAGTACACTGGTGGTCCTCTGCTGCCTGCAGTGCCACCTGCTGCACAGGTGCATTCTGAGCTTCAGCAGCAGGTTGGTCTGTGATGATCAGCTGCTGGTCAGACTGCTGTCCTGACAGGCAGTAGTCGGCAGGTACGGCCAGCAGAGGCCCCAGAGAGGCCTGCAGCAGGTGAAAGGCAGCTGGCTGCTCACCCTCAGGCAGGTGCTGATATGTGACCATCACATCTGAAAGCTGAAAAACAGCGCACAGTCACAACAAACTTCAATTAAATAAGCAAGCACACCTAACAACCTTCATAGTTCATAGATGAATTTGAAGCTCATCTGCCCTTAAACATTTAACACATCTCAATTTATTTTAAATAATATGGTATAACTTAACCTTTATTAAATGCTGATAAAAATACAGCAGACAAGAAACTTAGAAGCTCAAATGCAGACATATCAATAAAGATCTTTGTTAAAGACCACTGTTTTGCAAAAGATATCAGATCTTAGTTAAGTGCTGCAGACAAAGTGCCATGATTATAAATAATTAGCCCTTAAAATTGATAAATAACAAATCCAGGGCCCTGTATCATCAATCAGGCATACTGCTAGTCGCTACAAGCAGGTTCTATGAACTGACAGCGTAAGTAAGTGGTCAATATGCACAGCATTATGTGACTCAGGCCAAACCACAGCTTTTAATATGGTCCAAAGCAGTGTTAAATTTACCTACTTATGCAATGATATCCCTCAGCATTACAGCAACCAAAATTGCTGACAACTCCAGGAAACCAAAGAAGCAATAGTGCACAAGTGCTAATGGCTCTAGTAGGGTGCTGTTAAACAGAGCCCAGTATTGGGACATCAAATGGCCATATAGGTACTAACCTGTTTCTGAAATTCTCCTAAATGTGCATGACTGAGCCCAGAATCAGAATCGTCCATTGGGATTGTCAAACAATTGAAGTTAAAAGTCAATATTGTTGCTAACAACTATTGTTGTAAGTCGACCATTGCATTTCTATTAGGTTAGCAAAACACTCAAAATATTGGCAGATATAATTAAAATTCAGTCTTTTAACACTTGGAAACTCAATACAACAACAACACAGCGACTTCATATTGACGCTTCATGCAATGTATTTCTTTTGCAAACGGTAAAGTGTACTACTTGGCGTGCTTTTCTATTTTCTCTCAACATGAGGACTTTGTGACCTTCTTTTCACACTTTCTTCAGACTTTAGAACAGTTCAATACTTTTTTTTCTCTTATTTTTGATTCAAAAAGAATAAAATGAATGCTTATTTATAAGATTAAATTCATTGAAAAGAGTGAGTAAAAATATTTTCGAAACATGCGAAAATATTCCCCAACCTTTCACACGAATATCCTCACTTCGTACCATTATGGTGTGCTTTTATAAATATTTTGTCGTGATTCTGACGCGCTTTTGACATATCACATAAGTGAAATTTCCTCAAAGCAATCAAAATAAAGAAAATAGCCAATCAAAAACATATGCCAACCAGAGTGGGTAAGTTTTAAATGAAAGTGTCTTGGTATTCATGAATTAAATCTATGCTGGGCCCTATGCTGCATGAAATAAGAATGTGAACACATTTGCTTGCATGGTATTGGCCTAACGTATGGCCCGTATGGCTAAGTTGGAATAAAGTAAAATGGGTAGGTACAGGCTACAGTCCACCGCTAAAGTAATGTTGATGTGCGGTTTCACCAATCTCAATGGATGGCTTTGACTTGCGATTTTAATACGGAGTGATTGGAAAGAAATATTGATAGATAAAGTTGCAGCTGCAAGGGTGACGATACATGTAAGCTATGTTCAAAGGTTCATTGTAGTCTGGCTAATCGTTCCTAGGCTTCAGAAGCAGACCATACCCATGACTGAAATGGTACATTACTTCTGCTGTGGACTGTACGTATCCACATTCCTACATCTTATGTTGTGGTGTATCAAACCATGGCATGGCTCTTTACATAGGTAAGTTTTGACATGAAGTACTTACAGCGGGGTGGCAGCAATGAGAGGCCTGCCATTAGATAACCCTTTAATTTAGGCTATGAAGACTGACTGAATGTTAATCCTTCCATGAACTTGGCCTGCGTTCGGACATGCTGTTTTTCGTGCAGAATTTCCATTTTCCACTCTGAGGAATTCTTCATGAAAACAGCTGTTGGGGGATTGCGAAATGCAGGAATCCCACGGGATCCCTAATTCATTCTGTAAATGCACTGAATAGCTCAAGGTAAATGGTAAGGTCAGATGATGACGTATACCTAACCTAAGAAATTGGGCATCAGGGAGGCCGGCCCCAGTCCATGAACATATCACTTGCATATTGTAAATGACCCCACCTCTATGCTTGCTGATAGGGACAATTGATGAAGTGCCCATTAACAGGCTCTGCATGACAGGACCTTGTGCAAGCTGAAGAGAAGCATGCTGCTTGGTACATACAGTTACCTTAGGTTAGTCCAGTTGCTGGCACCTGTCATTCTACAATATGCATCCTCCCAATGAACAAGGGATATTTGCAGAGTGTGCACTCCTTTCACATTTGGCCCTTCATCAATCTATAAATTTGTAAAAAAAGGAAGCTTACTCTCCACATGTAAGCTAAATAACAAATACTACCTGTTGCAACTTCTCAGGCAAACTGCTGATCATGTCAGTGACCCAAAGATA